ATCAATTGTAGCTTGTAATCCTTCTGTGAAGCTCTTTGTTCAGCCACTTGCTATATAGGTATGTTGGTGCTCCTGGGTTGTCACCCTGTCACATGGCCCTATAATACGGCATAAACTAAAAAAAAAGCTCATGCTTTTTGTGAGTTACCTGATCATAGTCCAAAACTACACCTATAAACCTTTTTTTATTGCTAAAAGCAACATACTAAAATAGAGAAAAAGGTAATTCAATTGTGGATTTTAGTGGAGACTTCCAGTGGCCATTTCAACACAAATTACACAGGCACGGTTCACTGCTGTCAGTGTCAAGAAACCCACACTGAGAAATGCCATGTAGTCATGGCTGCAGTGCATATATAAAGGTGAACCTGTGTCAGGATCATGCACAAAGTATTTACAGATTCTAATCGGACAGTAAAAGCACTTTGAAGCAAACCCTCATTCACCTCTGTCTCTATAAGCATTGTAGAACAATCACTTGTCAAAGTTCACAACACAGATACTGTCAGGTCTATTCACAAAAGGGTGTATAGTTTGCAGAAGGCAGGAGAAGGGAACAATCTAGGACAACATCGCAGAACTGGAAAGTGAGCTGAATCGGAGAATTGTTCCAAATCAGCTATGTTGTCCTTGACTGTTCACTTCTCCGGCCTTCTCCAAACTCTTCACCCTTTTGTGAATAGTCCTGTGTGTTTTTCTATGGAGAGCAGATGTTGGCAGACTGCCAGCCCTCTAATATAACCAACCAGCTAAAAAAAAAAACTTTAGTGTCTTTGTTGTGATGGTTTGTCTTAAAGCTCCTTTCTGCTTTCTAATAATATGTAAATATATATTGTCTTTGTTTTAGAAATGTAATACATGATGAAGGATTGCCAGAGAACAATGGTATTTTAACAAAGAAAGAGCACAGCAGTGGTTGTCTCCTTTCAGACACGTTGGGGGGAATTTATCAAAACTGGAACAGACAAGAATTGGAGCAGCTGTGCATGGCAACCAATCAGCTTCTCTGTTCTGTTTGTTCAGTTAACACTTGAAAATGAAAAAGAGAAGCTGATTGGTTGCCATGCACAGCTGCTCCACTTTTTGTCTGCTCCAGTTTTGATAGATTCCCGCACAGTGTCTTTGTTTAAAAGCTTGGTAACAAGGGATCGCGGGGGTCACTGCTTTGATCCTTTCACTTGTGGATATCTTAGCTTGCACTATTGAGCTCTGTTAACAAAGGGCTTTTTACAACAGTAAGTAAGGAGACAATAAAAAACATGAAAAGGAGCCAAAAGCTTCACCTGCTGGCTGAAAATCTGAATACAGAATTTTCACATGTCATATTTCATAGTTGCCTTACAAAAAACGTTTTTTTGGATTTTAATTTTATTTTAGTCCTGACTAGGCATGGGTAACGTTATTTTGGTCAAATTAATTTTGCCTAGAAATTAACTATTTTGCCATTAGCAAAAAATTGCCAAAGTGAGAATTCTTATTTTTGCTTACTGAGCTGTATAAACAATATGTTGTTTCTTTATTCAGATGGTGCAGGATTTTTTTTCTCTTGTGTGTGCATGTATTCAGGATATTTGTTATTATTTTATTGTTCTTTCTGTTTGTTTCTTTTCTTTTTTTGTTCTTTTGATTTTTTTTTTGTGTTGTTGCTAAAACATGTTTTTTTTTAATTGCTTTTTTTCTTTCTTTGGAAAACAAAAACAATTAAAATAATAAGGCTTAGTAGGCTTCTTTTTTTTTTAACAGGACCAGGATAGTTGAAAGAAGCTATAATAACCCTAGTAGCTATATAAAACCCATAACACTCTTAGAAATGAATACAAACCAGATTATTTTGCCTTCCCCATTGATTACAACATGGCAAACGTTTTCTGAAATTTCCTGATTTTTACTGAAAATTAATAGAAATAAAAATGATTTTGCTTGTCCCTAGTCCTGACTGTAATAAGAAAAAAAAAAGAAAATAGATGCAAACCAGATATATATGTTTTCTGTTTAAAACTCTCGAGTGCCTAAAATGTTTTTCTTTTAGTGGACATCAGTAGGCACGGGTCACTTTCCTGGCTGGCAGTCCTTGTCCAGTCATGAATCAAATTAACAGAGTTTAGGCTTAATTTATAATTTATAATTTTGTTACTAATTAGTTTTTAGCGCATTAATTATTGAAAGTTGCTCTTCTGCAGGTTTTAAGTGGTTGATAGGTTTACACTCCTTGGTAATAAGATGTCGAAATGCTGAAAGAAGGTAATTAGAACTTTGGGCAACTCAACCGTGCTACAAAACTTAATAAAGCTTTGTCTGAGGAAAACAAGGTCTCTCAGCCTCATTGTCCTTTAACAAATTTCCGGAAGAATGAGACAGATAAATCCTGTTTTATTCAGGGACGTAAGCACAAGCTCTCGTTGTGCAGTCCCTGCTACTTTTAAGCAGCCACTATAATTATTTTATCGCCTTAAGAGAAGAAGCGATTGATAATATTTAAATGGAAATCCAATTAGCAATAGGGACAGCTCATTTGGTGGAAATTTGCTGGTCCTGTGTACACCGGCTAAGTAGCTTGATGTATCTGTAACCAATAAGGCCGCTCTTTTAAAACAGTGATGTAATTGCATCTGTGTCATGTGATGGATTGTTGTACACAATCATTCTAAAGAGGAATGACCCTTCGTTGTGATTTCTAACAGGGTTATTCACAAAAGGGTACATCGTTTGGAGACGGCAGGAGAAGTGAACAATCTAGGACAACATAGCTGAACTGGAAAGTGAGCTGAATTGGAGAAATTTTCCAAATCAGCTATGTTATCCTAGATTGTTCACTTCTCCTGCCTTCTCTAAACTCTTTAAACTTTTGTGAATAACCCTGTGAGTGTGCAAGCTTGAAAAGATGCTTGAAAAATTTAGGTTTTTCTTACTTTTCGGCTCATGCTTTTACCAGTGTGTGTGCATGTGTGGCCTGTTATTGAATAGGAACTAGTGAGCCAATAATTATAAAACAGGAGATAGAGAAATAAGAAAACAGCATTATTCCAAAACCATTTGGCATAGTTCAGATTGGTTTGTGGACTGTAGCTTCATAGCCTCTAGCGCAAGTCACCAAGGCTATAGGTTGTCCCTACAGGCAAAGTTATCAAATAATTGCTGGAATATCTTTTTTTTTTTTTAAAGATTATATTTATATATTTAATTTAAAAAAAATAAAAAGTAGGCAGCACAGTGGCATAGTGGTTAGTGCTTCTGCCTTGTAGCACTGGGGGTCTCTGGTTCGAGTCCCACCCAGGTCACTATCTACAAGGAGTTTTCATGTTCTCCCTGTGCTTGCGTGGGTTTCCTCCGGGTACTCCGGTTTACTCCCACACTCCAAAGACATGCTGGTAGGTTAATTGGCTCCTGTCTAAATTGTTTGTATGTCCCTGTCCTGTATGTATGTGAGATAGGAACCTTAGATTGTAAGCTCCTTGAGGGCAGGGACTGATGTGAATGTGCAACTATGTGAATGTGCAACTATGTAAAGCGCTACATAAATTGTTGGCGCTATATAAAAACCAATAATAAGATAAATAAAAGTGAGAATAGGACACACAGTACAGTTTTCCCAGTCTCATCCCCCATAAGGCTCTGTCCAGTCCATACTGGGTAATGTCAAAGCATCAAATTTACAATCGGTTATCGATGTAGCAGCAGGGTGACACAAAGCAAGGACATATGTGTAAAAAAGAAAACCATGACCAAGAGATCCGCAATTTGAGGGTGAGAGAAGAGAAAACATGAAAAGAAAATGCAAGGGGACAGAAAGAGAGTATGAGAAAGAAGGGAATGCGGACATAGTGAGAAGGGTGAAAGGGGGTAGTAGGGGCGCTCAATAACGGAGGCGAAACCCACATCAGTCAGGGCAGGAACTCAGAAGGGCAAAAACCACAGTTTGGCTGTCAGAGGAAGGAGATGATTCATTCCAGTGTTCCGTAAGGATATGGTATATCCAAGGGTTCCAGACATCACAGAACTGAGGGTGGTGGTTGTACAGATTGGCTGTAAGTTCAATATCTCAGGTATGTTCAATGTCTCAGGTATTACATCTCCTCAAACCATTCCACAAAAAAAGGGGAGCAGAAAATTGCTGAAATATCTTACACTGCCACCAACCCTTAAAATTTATGTCTGACCAAAATAAAATAAAAAAAACATTCAGTACATCTCCGCAACCCATGTCCATTTCTCCATGTTTTATCCTTCTAAAACTTGGTAACTTTCTAATGAGCTGACAACACAGTGCCTCTTCTTCCATAAAATCCCAAGCAGTGTTGTCAGGCCTGCCTGAGTTTCCCCTGCTGGACTATAGGAAATCAGCCTTATGTTGGTTGATCTTGGTAGGGCTGATGACACTACTTGGAATTTCAGTGCAGCAAAGGCACTGTTTTGTCAGCTCAAAGAGGAAGTTGGGAGAACACTGGATTTCTAGATGATCAACAGGTATTTTTGTCTGTACTTGCAGCAATTGTAAAGGGATAAAACATCAGGAAACGTGCGGGTATTACAGAGAAGTACTGAATATTTTATTTTTGTGTCCATACATACACACATTATTGGTACTGTCAGCTAGTATATGCCGTTGACCTAGAGTGCTCTTGGCCTGAAGGTGTTTGCTTATTTCCCGTTCTGTTTTCCCACTGTAGACGACCAGTTTATGAAAAGTAAAATCAGGATGTGTCATTGTAAATGGTGGAGGAGTCCTGGAGCTAGGTAGTACAGTGTCGGGGTCATGGGGGGTTAAGATGGAAGTATTGGACTCAGACTTTGATTAGTGGTTTCATTCCCAAAGGTTTTTGCTATTGCATAGCTATCTTTCATCCTGTCCAAGTCTCAGTTTTCTTCAGCTTCAGATTTGCAAGTGGAATGGACATGAGATGGGGGAAGCTTATCCTTTATCTCTAGATTCAACACTTTTATACGCTTTTAATGTAATTATTAAACATCTAACCTCTTTGTTCTTTTTGATTCTTTCCAAGGTGATGTGATGAACTTACCGCCGTACCTTAGGATGGACTTTTTATTAAATCGAGGTGCTTCAGGAACTAGCAGAGACTTAGGGCAGGCTTGCTTGGAACCTCAAAAAAGCCGGACCCTGAAGCGGCCCACAGTTCTGGAACCAATACCAATGGAAAATCCATCAGCAAGGGAGGTACAGTCATGGCAGTCCAGTGGTGGGGCAACTGCGGCTGCACCGGTACCGCCACGAGAAGCCACAGAACTAGGACAGGCAGCTAAAATAAGCAGTTCACAAGAATCGCTACTGGACTCCAGGGGTCACTTGAAAGGAAACAACCCTTACACAAAATCCTATACCCTGGTATAACAACTAAACAAAAAAGAGCTTGTAAATACTAAAAAAAAAACAAAATGCAAATCAAAGCTACCTTTTTCTACGGAATTCCAACATTTATAATTTAAACAAAAGAGAAAAAAAAAGGATTGCCAAAACATTTAAAATAGGAATTTACAGACAGTGCAAAGACTCTTCATTATTTTTATTTTACCCCTTCGGATTACCTACACAACATTCATCTTCCCTGATGTCAAACTCTTTAAAGGATTTGGGTTATTTTATTGTCACCTTTCTACCACTTTTCTACAGTCTGGTGCATGAGAACGTTTTACTTGAAAATTTCCAGCACACCCAAATTACAACAAAAAAAAAAAAATGAGTTAAAAAAATATCCAGACGCTGAATGGTATTGTTATGGAGAAAAATGATTTATTTTACATGCCCTTTTTTTTTTTTTAACTAATATTCATAAGTTATTTTATTTTTTTGTTACATAGCGTTCTATCAGAGAAGATAGACTTTTCTCCTTTAAATGATCTTTGACTCGTTGAATTTTGTCCTTGAGAAATAAAGGGTCTCTTGCCTTCTGCTGTGATACCTGCTTTAATTTGCTGGTTTAATTTTTTATGTTTTGGTTGTTTACCAATAGATAGAATATGCACTATACGAGGCTTTAAATAGGTTTCATTTTTTTTAAATACAGCTTTCCTATTTTCTGTATGTTCAAAGCAATTTAAATGATACCTCCTTTTTTTGTTTTGTTTTAATTTATCAGGTAAAATCTCCAGAAATGTTTCTTTGTGAAGTCGAGCATGTGACGACGAAGGGCTATATAAAACATCAGTAAGGGCTCTCAGATCAACAGGTTGTACATTACCTGATGTGTGTCTACTTCTAATATTGCTACTCATGGGCTGGGTTTAACCTGTTTACTTTCTTGTCATTCAGTGGAAATTTAGCACCTTCTAGCATTGGTTCCTTTCATTAAAAGTAAGTGCTGATCTTACCTCCGTAAAGCTTCTTGCATCATTATCGGATCCATTATTTACAGCAAGAAAAATGTGATACCGGTAAAGCACTCTAAGGAAGAATGTTTTCTAGATGTTCAGTAGTCTCCATGTTCATATTTACCTTAAAGTATATTTAAACCCAATCTCCAACATCTCGTATTAACTTTAAAATGTTAGGTCATTTCAAAAGGCAGGTTTAATTTTTTTCTAAATTTGTAGCTTTCATTAAAATAATCATTAATCAAATTAATCATCTAAAATAATAACAATAATTGCTGTTGATCCTGTAATTAGGATCCAAAAAAAATCTGAATTCTATTACTATTATATGGTAGAATTCCTATATGGCGCAGCCTTGATGATGACTTATAGGCACACAGTTAATTGCACAAAATCTTGCCTGGGGGCTTTTACTTCTAAAGAATTTGTATTTCTGTCCATCCATTTCTGAGAGTCATGCTGCTGTGCCATACAGCACAACCAGGTCAGTGGTCTAATTTTTCTCTACTGCAGTGAAGTGATGCAGCTTGGCGGCCTCACCACCCTCAGCCTGGTATTGAGCAGCAAAGAACAAAACAGCACAATGATGAGCTCATCCCTCTCCTAATGCTTTTCTCAACACTTGTCATCATATTCCTTGTCGTTGCGTGAGCATTCACCTGATTTGGCTGCCCACCGATCTTCCAGTCTGAATTTGTACTGTACAATTCATTACACAAGGCTAATATAAAAAAAAGAAATTCAGGTACATACATTAGCTGTTTTTAAAAATACATAATACAAAAATACATTAAAGAACATTAAAGAATACATAACTACATGAAATAATGTTCTTCATATCTGTCTGGGGTTCAGCCTGTTTCAATGGGTTTTTGTTGGCATGAGAATTGCTTTTTAGAATCATTTCAAACTTTTCTGACATTCAGGCAGAATGGATGCACCTGAAAGCAAGCTGCAGTTACCAAGGTCCACCCCCACTGACGCATTTCACTCAATCACAGACTTAGGAGTAGAGAGAGTGATCCCTATGACTAAGCGCGTTAGTGGGAGCAGACATGGGGTGCGGGACCCCAGTGATGGGATATACGTTTCAATAAACTATCCCAGCAGAATCTGGTGTGCGGCCAGCTTTTCTTCTGTTTGTACAGGCTCATATTGGAGCAGGGGAGTGCTCTCAGCGGCAAGCACCTGGCTCATTCCTTTCCTGGGCTGTGGTGGGGCGGTGCTTCCTTTGTGTGGTTTTCCTGTCCGTCCCCCACCACACACACACACACACACACACACACACACACACACACACACACACATATTCCGTGGACCTATGGATTTAATATGTCTTCCACTTAGAACAAATACTCAAGCACACACAGATATACAAATAGAGATAAAGGAGAAATATAATTTTGTCTGCTTAATTATAGGAACGGAATATCTTAAAATATTAAATTAATAATTTTTAATTTTTCTGATAGGTACCAATATATATTTTTTTGTCACATCTTTATATACATTAATATTTTTGTATTTATATTATTTACATCAGATATTTTGAATATTCTTATATACACAAAAAAATCTATTTTTCTAAAGGTTTATTTGTTTATAATTTTACTTTTCCTTAAAAAAAAAATGTTTATATAATTTATAGAAGTTAGACGTGTAGATTATAGTAGCTGCTCCAGCTTGTAATTTTCACCAGTTGACTTGGAGTAAACCGAGTCTTTCACAGCTGGTAAAACATGACATGTCTGCAGTGTATCTAAACCCTTAGACTAAAATATCCTTATCTGTCCTTAGATGTGGTGGCTGCTTTAGGTTTTTTTTCTTCAGGCTTTCTCTTTTATTTTCACCTGGCAGTCGTAACACACTTCCTGTGCTTCTATGACCACACTCGCTCACTGGCAGGTTATGGATGACATCACTCACTCATTAAATGGAGGGCAGGTGTTGTGTAGTCCGCAGAGATAGATGCAAGGGCATCCCGAGGCCGGGTGTCACCTGGAGCAGATATCGGGTGACGCCCTGCTGTGACGTCATCCCGCATGTGCGATCATCTTATTGATACCTGCCGGTGGCCATCTTGGCAATGGACATCGGCAGGGAGAGAAGGGGACAGCCACCCGGCGCGATAAGGTATGCCGCCGGGTCCCCTCCTCTCCCCCGAAACTTTCAGGCTCTCGGTCCATGACCGAGTTCCCAACTTTTCAGAGGGGGTGACACCAAAATGACTGTCAGTCATTTTGGTGTCACCCCTCCAATAGTGTCACCCGGGTGCAGGTCGCACCCCCCTTGCGATGCCACTGGATAGATGGGAACAATGCTAACTGATAGCAGAGAGCCCAGGATGTTGTCTGCTTACAAGATCAACAGGTATTGTTTGCAGCTGCTGAGCAGATATAATAAAACACTTTGGATATATATTTACCAAACCAAATAAAATAAATTAATTGTTATGATTTACCAACATACCTAAGATGTCTTCCCCTGCCCTCCCCAGGATTGGGCTGGATCCCCTGCATTTCAGCCAACCATCTGACAACTCGGGGCAGCACCTCTGCAGTCCAGTACAAGTCACATTGTACTTCAGCAGCAGCCATGACATTGATATAACCACTTAAGGACCAGGACTTGCATGTATGTCCTATGGTAGTTAAGTGATTAAGTTCAACACCGTGACCCCAATTTACTAAAGCCGTAGGGCATGTGCTCTTCAAAATTCCATTTTCACTTATCTTAGTGAATTAGGTGAAACAAAGTAAACATTCCTTTTCTATAGAGTAGTAAATCAACTGCCATCTTCACAATGGTTAACTCATTTTAATTGCACAACCGCAAAGTTAAACAGCCTTGGGTCAGACCTGCTTAGCCAGTTAAACATTGATGTACTGTATGTACACTGGAGAATCGTATGCAATCATCACCTTTTCCATGCTGGAAGGACACAGAACTCATTGTGATGTATTGTATCGCTAGAACATGATTGTTCTGTCAAACAACATTTTAAACCGTCGCCTTGATCAAGACGTGTAGCGAGTGATGTCATAGTGCTTAGAGGTTTGTTTTTTTTTAAATACAAAACATTCAGGACACATTTAGCTTTATTGAGAAAAGAGTTCTGAACTGTTGGGTGTTAGTAGATATGTAAGCTGCGAAAAAATTTGGTTCAGATATTTTGTTGTTTCGTAATTCGGATCTGAACTTCCATTCGGTTCGGGTTCCGGATTCGGACCAAATCTATATTTTGTTGGTTTCGGATGAGTTTACGAATGTTTGTCGCGACTAACACAGAAAACCATATACAGTTATTACTACTAAAGCTGACTCTCCTAGAACAGAATGGCATTCAGGATCCGAATTTCTGCATTGCATTGGGGAGTACCCGAATGCCATTCGGGTCTGGGAGCCTCAGCTTTAGTATTCTATGTATATACCGTATATGGCTACCATGTTGCCGTAACGAACATTCGTGTTCAGACCCATTCAGATTCATTAAACCGAAAAACACATCTGATTGGCCGGAAAAGTTAAATGTCCGATTCAGTTTCTTTTTTTGAACAAAATTCAGACGGGATCCAAAATTAGGAAACAGGAATTTGGATTCGGACACATTCGGATGCATTGGGATTTGGAAATTCGGATGTGTTCGATTTTCGGAAAATGTGTCCGCATTTTGATTCGTAACGAAACTAATCGCACATGTCTATTAATTAGGGATAACACAGGTTTGGACCAAACCCGGTCCAAACCTGAGCTGCTCCAAACCAGGAAGGAGTCTCTCCTGAACACGGAATGAAGCTCCTGCCATGCCAGCCAATCAGCTGCTGGTGGGGAATTCCCCCACCCACAGCTTGATGTAAGCAAATGGGCAGAATGGAGTGATGTCATTGACCTTATATGGCTGTCACAACAATAATATCACTTGACTATTTATGGAATATAGTTATCAAACAATGTTATATAAGAACTTGCCTTTGAAAACTTTTCTTCTTATCTAATTTAAAAAGATTTAAAAAAAATGCTTGTGAAGGTATTTTTTCTGGTAAGTTGCTGAATTTCCACT